AAAAAGGCCATTAACAAGAATAATTCATAATTTAAGTATACACATAAAAGTTAAAAATCTTTGGAATAACCAATAATATCACTATGAAAAACACTAAAATGAAAAAATGTTTACTTAGTATATAAGTACTCGCAGGTGCATGCCTGTATCCACAATGCCATTCATGTCAATAAATGTCGATAACCACTTTCTAAAAGATGAGCCACCACTCTAATTTTAGTATAGAAGAAGATAAAATACCTACTAGTTTATATACGCGATATTGATCGAAAAATATTGGCACTGATGATGATGATTACAAGTACTGAATAGACAATGACTAGTACATGATAAACATGCTCATTTTTGATCCTACAGCAAGTTTAGTTCATGCAGTGATTGAATAGTATTGTAATATTTATGACAAGTGTATTCTTCAATTTGCGCATCACACGCGATCATATTGCCAAAAATTGATTATTTTGCCAAAATTACGTTCTTAAAATTTACGAGCATATAACTTTAACTCAAACTGAATTTTACAGCAGATTGGTACCCCTAAGGCAACATTGGTTTTTATGAAGTTTTCCAATAAGATCATTAATCACCGAGAACACTTATTGTGCACCCACCATGAATATTGCATCAACGTAAACTCGTGCTGGACAATACTTAGTGTCACACTAAAGTTTGATTAATGAACAGTCAATAACCAATGTAAAGATATTTCTAAAGGAAAATATTAATAACGTCACCACATCTACGAGAAATCACGATAAGCAATTAAAAACATTATGAAGACGCAGGATTTTATTAACCTTAAGTTATTTAGAAGAGGGGTAGGTAGAATTAATCCAAGAGGTTAGGTTTTGAAAATCTGTATCAAACAAGACTCTAATTACATACTCTAATTAATAAATTCATTGTATTCACCTCCCCCATTTTGGAATTAGTTGAATATGAATTTAAATTACAAGAGGTAATTTACAAAATTGTAATTATGTGACCATGGTCAATACGTTAGCATTATATAAATAGGTTATTAGCATAATATTTTTAACAGTAAGTAACTCGGACAATAGTCACAAATCCACAAAAGCGTAACGGATTAGGGCTTACAAATATTAAGCTCACTTATATCCCTTTACTTTCACAATACCAACCATTGTTCAATGGTATAGATCCGACCCACCTGTTTCACGGAGGACACAAAGTCCCTATTTTATCGAATGAAACCGCAAACTTATTGCTAACTCAAAGGTAAATCCTGTCGTAAAACCCTGTATAATGTACTATTAATAGGTACTAGACAGATTCTGACTTGGTACGTGGTTTCCAAGTATCTGTAATTATATTTTGACGACCGTGTTATGTGATGTTGCAATCATAGATGTTAAATATTAAACTATAATTATAACTAAGCTAGTGATGCTCACGACTTTATACTATCTCTTCATACTCTCTGTACCGTAAGTCATCACAGAGAGAAAGCACTTATTAAATACTCTTGTCTTAATAATAACTTTAGACAATTTACGCAGCATCATCTAATTTAAAACCAAGTAAGACGTGTTATGGGTACTATAAATTGTATACAAAAACTCAAATTATATACGTAATAAATACAGAAACCATAAACAATTACACTACTGAATACAAACATTTGAATCGTGCGAGGAATGGATTCCGATACCATCAGGAAGTAAGGTGGTGTACGAAATTTATTTTATTGATTTTATAGTTAATAGTGATAGGAATGAAGAAGTTTGTACCTTGTATGTTGAGAAATAAATACATCGGAAAACATTTTGTAACTTTAATTAATTCGGATTAACTCATCATCTGTCTAGTCTGGTAGGAAACATTGTTAACAACAATCTTATTCATCTTAGAGACAGCGTTATATTCTGTCAAATGTGTCCAAGAAATGTATAATATAATATATGATTCAACAAGACTAAAATAAACACTGCGGAATACGTCATAAAAGTCGGGTGTGAAGAAAAAACTCAGTACATTTAATAAAATTTCTATCTTCATTATTTCATTATACAAAAAATCGCTGACTAAATAACAAAAAGTTTTAATGTCATTCAAATGCAGAATACATTACAAACCTAAAAGTATCGTTCAGGTATGTCGACCCATTTTTGGGAACACCTAACCGGAACCGTCAACTTCAAATAGACCTTTGGGCAGTTTCAAGAATTAACTGCATCCCTTGCCTAATTACCTGACCCGTAAAATATGTAATTGGTAGCATAATTTAACCTAAGCCTAGCATCTCCCCACTTATAAATGAGTTTGCGGCATTGCTTAACTTCGACTGAAAACACATACCTTATATCATGTGGTGTATAAGTAATAAAAACTGTTTAAAATTATTTCTGTCTTACGCTCCTTTTATTTTAAACAAAAAATTAAAAGGTTTTCTAAAATATATACATATATATATATATTAAAATAAAATGTTTACCATAATAATATAGTTAATAAGTTTAATTTATACAATGTGTGCAAATGTAAACAACCGTGAAAAAAGTTTAAAACATTGTTTTCTATTTGTAATCTTAGTATTGAATTGTTTCTTTGTTATTAGTCTCCGAAATACTTCATACACTTGTTCCAAACAGGTGTATAAATAATTTTCATTACACCTATTACTATGTATCAGTCTAGTATAGAACGTAAGGAGATGATCTCTACTAGAACAAAGAATAAACTGATATGACTTTTACGACTCTAATTGAATGACCTTCGCAATTTTTCTGTCGGTATCTTTCCAAACAAACACTTTTCCTTTGAAATTTCTGCTGCGTGTTACTTTGAATAATGATACTTTGTTATTCAAAGTTTTACCATAAAGTATTTTTCGGAGAAAGTTTTCTAATTCACTGCATGTCATACGGCAAATTGAAATAACATGCTCTTTTTGCAATGTGAATAAAAACTTTTTTACTTTTCACAGCAAATTTGCTAAAAGCAAAATGACAAAAATATCTGTGAGGGTAACAGAAATAATTTCATAACGCAGAAAAACGTACATTTTCAAAAGAGATGGTACGTACCTACTTTGTTTGTTTGTGTACTATTTACATAGTATACTATTATATATAACGGTTTTTTTAATGGATAGAGAACGGTTTATATTTATAATACACCCGGGCGAAGCCGAGACAAGTAGCTAGTAGTATATATTACAGTTACTATATATACAACTAACATCATTAGGAAATCTAATTTAGTAATCATATTAAACTAGTGCGTTATGAGTTTTAAGGTATTCACTAGAAATACGAGCTTCAAGTTGATTACTTTTATGTGGCAAGTTTAATAACACATGTTAATAATATACTGAGATAGATAACCTGTCAGCTTGTTTGCCATTTGAGTTATATTAAAACATAGATCAACAGACAAGAAAAAGCCGGAAATGTTGCACAAGTACATGAAATACAATATACAACTATTATTCCCAGGATCTCATGTAGATATATGCCACACACACATACAGATATATTTAATTGTTAAGAGTTGATAGAGCTAATAACTAGGACTATGCGTTTTTTGTAACCGATAACAAAAAATATTAAACACAAATAAAGTATTCATCATATTATCATAATATAAAAAAAACTATAAACATTTAATAATTAATTTACACTTATAAACAATCTGGGAATAAAATAAATGTTTCAATACAGTCTCTGAAGATTCAGCTAGACAATCCATTATCCCATGTATAGTACTGGGTACAAGTAACCATTCGTCAAATATTCTCCTTAATTTCTTTCTTCATGATATACTTAGATGCTACGGCTACGAAGTGCTACGTCGCGTCGCGGCATCGCTTCCGAGTTACGTTAAAAAGACTAATAGTTTTTGAATAAACAAATCTGTACTTTCGTCCGCAATACTGAGTGGAACACCTTTAAAACTAAAAAAATCCTACTGTGTCACATTAAATACATATGTGCGAAGTTTTTAGTGTACCTATATTATATATATATATAGATATATGTATACCTATATTTTAGAATTTGCATTACATTGTTTAATGAATATTCTTCATACCGAAGTATAGGTATATATTAGAATGTAAACCAAATCAATTTCAAGCTTTCAAAGTATGTCAAAATATAATGAAACCGAATGGAAATGACTCATATTAAAATTTATACGCACATGTTGCAGCCATATTCATAATTCAAAATGTGTCACTGGTGTTTAGGTATGTTTTTCGTAACAATCTTAGCTAAATGTATGTAGTGAGAGAAAGGAACATTTACTTTGTGTTTAATTCTACACCATACGGAGCAGAAGCTTAAGCAAAAACACAAAAGCGACCGCAGACGTAATCGTGACATATTTAGAATACAACAAATGTTTGTTTTTAAGGCAAGGGTATAACAAAACAAAGCCAAAGTGCGCTGTGACGAGCTTCAGCAACGTGTGGAATCATGCTGAAAGTCTGAAAGTCGAGTTCACATCTTATTTTTTCACAAAGAAAAGCTTTGACTCTGTGATGCGATCTCAAAATACCCGCTTTAGTACAATTGTGTCCCGTATGTCACTTAAAAAAGTATGTTAAAAGATTAATAATAATAAATATACCTACAATTTTTAACCTACTTTTATTATCTATACATAATATTCGCTTGAGTTATTATGTTCACGCGATTCTTTCCGCACATTATTTTTAATAGAACTTATACCAATACAAATAAGATTTGTGGTGTTCTTATACAAATTGTAAGATAAAATATGTACCGGGTGTGATTAAAACCCAAATGAGTTTTATTTATATTACCGTTTTCAATTCCTGCAATTTTTATCAAAGTTTTAGAAATTATATAAGACATCCACTTTGAATGTATTTATTTACTCCCTAAAATGTTCTGTATATATACTCCTTGTATTTTTTAAACACATATTTTTATTATAATCTCCTTGATATAAGTGAAAAATTAATAAAAAGTGTAACAGCTAGCGGTAACAAAAAAAACCTTTGGTTTTTTTATTATATTTAATTTAAAATAAAATATTTATTTTAATTTAATAATTTACAACAATGAAATCGAGTGGAAATATTAAAGCTGAATCTAAAATGAAACAAACTTTAGTTGAAAATAGAGGTGTTACTAATAATATTTGTATTCATGAAATGATACCTAAAAATATAGATTTTGGAGTAGTGAGCAGACTTCGTGTTGGTAGCCTCTTACGCACGTGGGCTGATGTTTCCAGAATTAACTACATGTCTTTAGAACCACTTGACATCATTACGTCTGGTAAATATCTAAAAATAGTATTTTTGGAGATTCCTATAATAATAAATTATTTATGTGTATATTATATAGTGAACCGTGAATTCATACAATTATTGTTTAATATGTACACAATTTTATATATCATTGAACCTATTATCTCAAGTTATATAAATATATCTACATCAGATAATATTACATAAATATACTGAGCTCTTCTTTATTTATATCTCACACTAGAGGTACATATTTCTGAATGTCAATGTTTGTGGTGATAGCTTGGAGAAAATGCCATCCCGACATTTAGTTTATGATCCCAATGTGAGCCATCTATTTGATTGGTGTAATCAATACAGCTGAATGACTATTCGTTCACTTCGGATGTTATTCTTGATGATGTTGCTGAATAACTATTACGAGCAACTAATCAAATTTTAATTTAATAAGAAAAAACGTCATGATTATATTTATTTAAAGAAATTAATTGAAATAATTTAATAAGGCACTACAACTGTAATATCTTCTCTCATATTTTTTTTATTTAACCATTTGACTGGCTTTATAAAACAACTCTATGCTAGTAACAGATATGTTTGTTTCAGGTCAGAGCATCCGACGACGTAGTATCGGATTATCTGGTAAAAAGTACTCTATCCATTGCTTTGTACCATCGGAACTTCGCAACAAGAGCGAGGAAGATTTATTTGCAGAACAAGTGAGACAAATGTTAACTCTTATATATTATAAATTATTATTTATATTGTAGGTATAAATTCTGTTAACACTAATTATATTTAAAGATGTGCTTATAAATCATATTATCATAAATTCGTCATTGAACTATGTATTTGAAATAATCTCGTTTTTATATAGTTGATATCAAACGAACTTGAACTGTGTCTAGATACATAGTTCAACTACAAAATTTCATCGAAAAAAATTCCAATATTTGAACAAGTAATTCCATACTTTACGTCTCTCACACGAATCCGACACAGTTTATGATTGCTGATATAATACAATAATAATATTATATAATATATAGTAATATATAATGATAAAATTTCGTCTGAATATTCTATTCAGACGAAATTTTATTATATAATAACATTGTTTCCCCTCACAGTCATTTAAAACGGAGTATATTTTTTTACTAAACTCTATTCAAACCCGTTGATAATCCGTATTATTAAATTTTTCATAACTTAGTATAGAGAACAAAAGTTATTCTTACTTTTCTTGAAATATTCATGAATGCAAACTTTATTATGTAATATTTTCGTCAACAAGCAGCCGGTCATATAATATGCGCGACAGGTACTATAAGGGCCCGTTAACATCTTTTGAGATGATGAAGGGCCAAAGTAATGGTTGAATTGCCTCACATGCGCTATGGTTTTTGATGCGTGTCCCATTGAGTAGGGTCACATTTCGTCACACCCCCTTCCTTTATTTCCCAAGAGATACAATGTTTACCAAACAATGTCACAGGACCGCGTGTAATTGCTTTCATTTTACGTGTGAAATTGTATCGTTTGGAAAATATTGACCAATGGAAAATAGCACCTTAATTTTTCCGTGTTTATTTCCAATAATACTTCCATTCTGAATGCCTTAGAATTTTCTTATTTCCAGTTTCCCGTTAACGTGACGTCCTTAATGAACGAGGATCAACTATGGGGATTTTTCTACATATTTCCAGAGCTGTATGCCGATATATACTCGCCAATTATATGTGTACGCAATATTGAAGATGTACCAGAATTAGTCGGAGGAATTCTTACTAGAGCCATGGTCACCGCCTGTCTCTCATACCTGAGCCGCACGCCTATCTTACAAGACTTCGTATATATCAAATTGGACCTCTCTACCAAGGTCATCTAAATAGTTACTCATTTCTTGTAAAATCTGTTTTAAATTAAAATGGAAATCCTTTTTAAAATTATAGAATTCAAATTGATAATAAAAAAGGCTGTTACAAGTTTTAATTTTCTTTTATAATCGATTTTACTTAATCATAATAATCAATAAACAAAATACTTAAGTACTATTTTTTGGCTGCATAGATAAATGTAAAATATTTAATTTTTCTTACAGCATCTGACCAATATCGACGTTTTACAACACTACAAATATCTTGTTTATCTAGATATTTCATCCAATTTATTGACAGAAATATCTGTTCTGTCATACCTCCCCTATCTGCAGTTCCTGTCAGTAGCTTTCAACAGACTGAACACTGTTTTGGAATACGATACCCGTATGTCAATTATTTACTCAATAAACAAAACATAAATGTTTACATAGCTATCTATCCTAAATCAGTTCATTAATATATGTATGTATATATATACCTATGCACATTCATGAAATAATCATTTCGCAAATGGCACCAATTACAGATAATATAAAGAGACTGTAAAATATCGTCTACGTGGGTACCCAACCTCCAACCTCAGTCTCACCTTTTTTTTAACCACCAAGAAGCTTGCCATGATATATAGGTTTCGGTTATAGGGTGTTAGATAATCAAATTACAGAATAAGGGCATGATATCATAATCTTCTGGAATGGCAACGCACAAGTGATACGAGTATGTAATGTCCGTAGCGCAGTTGTCGCACGTTATGTGCTTTTTTTCGTTTTATTGGGTTGTTTGGGCTATTGCCAGTTGTTTGCAGCACCTGTAGCACTGCGACCTACATATGTAGATCTATTGTGCTCGCCCTTTTTCAAAGGACGCTACCTAGACCCGTCAGGGACAAAAATTGAAGGATATTCTTAGGAGCGATGGTTTTTTTCTCCTCGGGAAAGAGTGTAAACTTTCCAAAGGAGATATTTCGTTTATGCATGAGTGGGCTACAACCACATGAAGCGGCGTTTCCTCTTCAGTTTGGCAGAATCTGCAGATACTTGTCGTGCATAGGCCTAGTTTGGCCATATGCTTGTTCAATTTGCAGTGTCCTGTGAGGGCCCTAGTCATCATGCATATGTTGTTTTTACTCAATAGCAGTAGTCTATTGGAGTATTTGTCGAGTAGCCGGACGTTATGTGCTTAGTGATGTTCATGTATATATAGACCGCTTACAGGTGGACCATCAGGTTGTTTGGCATTCCAATTACGTTTGTTTGATAATAAATAATGAATGACATCATTTGTGCAATATAATAATATTTTACTCGATTATTCACTACTGAACTCTGGGAACATACAATTATTACATATATTCTTCAGAATTTTTAATATTTGTGGTCACGATCCACGTCTTATAACAAATTATCATGAAATTATTTTCAGCACAATGGTTTTTGACTGAAGTGCATTATAATTTTAACTCTGTAAAAAGAATTAGAGATTTAAGTGGATTTTGGTCAATCACAATTCTTGACTTGTCGCATAACAACATAAAATATATTAGTGGTCTTGAAAATTTAAGGTATGCTCCATTTGGTCTATTAGAATACGTACTATTTTCTACTAATTCGAGATTATATTTACTTAAAAATTTGTGATTTACATTCCCTATAACAAAACATTTATTTTAATCCTAGATACCTTCGGCGTTTAGACCTGTCCTTTAACCATATACAGCGACTGGAAAATTTGAACAACCTGCGTTTACTGTGGCTTGATGTTTCTTATAATAATATTTCGAGCTGCGAAATTGGCCCCCAAAGAGGACTCTGGAGCCTCTTACATTTAGAATATCTCAATCTTAATGAGAACAACCTCACGTCATTGAAAATATTTTCGGGATGCAACAGGTACTCGTTATTATATTGTATCTATTCTAATTCGAATTCCTATACGAGATGGATAGATAGGTAGAGGAAACCTAGTACCCGTTATAAGTCTCTACTCTCTCTCCCTTCTAAAATCTCTGTAAGGCTTGTACAGCCGTACAGAAACCTTAGAAGAGAGAGAGGGAGATAGTAGAGACCTTACAATTGGCAACTGCACGTTTTCAGGTTTCTTGTTGTATATGTACCTCCTATTTTTTTCTATATTATTTTGAAATAAAACAAAATGGTCTCATGGACGTGCTTTTAGTGTTTGCATATAATCTAGTCTAGTCTATCACTATCGGCTCTTTGCCTATTATATTGTATTGCAATTATGTCCAGCGAAATGTGAGCAAATTTTACGTTAATCACAATGGTAACACCCGGCAGTGCCATTAAGTAATCCACCGGAGATTGGTGTCCTGAGCATATTTAGTTGATACGGTTTTTCAACGTTGAACAAATACTAAATAAATTTATACTCCAATTCCAATTTAATGTCAATTATTGTCAACTAATTTTACTAGTTATCACCCGCGACGTCGTCTGATATCTTGGGTTAAAAATATTTTCTATCCTTCCTCGTAATATAATTTATTTACGTCAAAATATACACAGAACACTATTTATCTTTTCTCGACTAAACAGTCGAGAAAAGATAAATAGAAGTAAACAATCAGACAAACCGATACATTATCGTATTCCTAATATGACATACAAACATACTGACTTTGGTGTTATCCCTGATAGGATAGTTCCAGATTTCGCTAGGTATATTTCATTTCAAAGTGATAGGAGCTTACCGCCTACCGCGTATCACGGAGTAATTTTTAATTTTATATCGGTGTTTCCTTCACCGGAATTTGTCAAAATATAAATTAACACGAAACATTCTCTATTTTTTTGGGCAGATTTGAACTTACGTCCTCTTAGGTGTAAGTCAGGGTATTGAAACACTAGGCCATGACAGTCTGATTTATAATATAAAATTAATTAATTAGTATTAAATTTGTTTCATTGGAATATAAAAACATCAGCTAACATTCGTATTTTGGTAAAAGCAGCGTCAATTTCCTTTAATTGTATATTATTATTAATACAAGACTATTAAATTTATTATAATATAATAGAATTTGTCTTTTTATATAGACTTCGTGAATTGCATGCACGAAACAATCGTTTGAGTATATTATTAGAACTTGCAGTATATTTGCGCCAAATGAGACGACTTATAGTTATTGACTTACGCGCCAATCCCATGTGCTCAACACCTGGATACAAGGAAGTTGTAATTAATACCTTTCCTCTATTGCTTAGTTTAGATGCCGAAGAAGTAGATCCTATTACGCAGGTACATATTTTGTATTTTTAAGAGTAGAGAATTAGAAAATAGAACTAAAAATGCACTGTTAAAGAAATAACTGCCTATGAGTACACCTATACATCTATTTTATATTAAAGTATAAAGTCTTTTCATGAAAATGCTGTAAAATTCAAGTACTTTCAACCAATATTAGTTGATAATGTAACCTCCCTACAATTACATGATGTTCGATAATTTTTGCATGTAAACATATTAAACTCAATACGCCATTTATTAATTACATTTAGATTATTGAGATCTTACATCCACATTACAATGTATGTATATAATTTTTATTATCTTTCGACATCGGCACTACTTTCCCAATTTTTATGGATTATGTGTCCTCTTTCTACAGCGAACATACAAAATGGATATGACGCCGAATGTTAACACTTTTGCGACGCGACGTTTATTACGTTTACTCTACGTGGAACAACTGTCTCGAGCACTTGTGTCACCGTACACTCCACCAGCAGACACGACAGAGGTTCCTATCGTCGTGCTTGTGGGATATGAAGCTGTTGGAAAAGGTAACATAATTTATGCTATGTTTACACGACGAAGATAATAAATATTATGTACCTAAAAATAGTTTCATCAAAAACTAAATAAACCCAAGAACTTCATATCACCTGTACTCGTCCATTCTATTTTTTCCCCTTTTATGCACGTTCTACTCAACTCTTTCATGACATGTTTAAATATAATGTATATGGTAAAAAGGGGTGTTTAGTAATGGGGATTAGTGTGACCCCATTGTTAGCCATGTTCCTACGAGGTTCCCACTGCAAAGATTCTATTATTATCGATTAAAATATAGTTTATATGGGAAATAGAAATGGGATTAATTACGTCTTTGTACTATAAGTATTATTAAAAAATATTTTGCACTTAACAACAACAATATATAAAATGAATGACTACTGTTTGTAGTCATTCATTTTATATACCTATTATTATTTTGTGAATTAATGTTAGTAAAGGTAGTCGCACTAACTCGCTCTACCGCGGAGTGGGTTAGGCGCGTGTACGATTGTATAAGAATGGTTTTCATATTTCCTTCGAGAAGCGTCAAAGTGTAACCTTTAATTAAATTAATATCTACTTCAAGATTAGTTATTATGGCTGTACATTAGGAAGCATAAAGCTTAATATCCTTTATACTAACGATTTTTTTAATAAACAATTGTTGCAAGTAGTTATCAAAGGATCTGATATAAGGATTAATACAGATATAAATACATAGACACTATCAAACAAAATTGTAAATTAAATTACACAATAAAAAATTATAACTGAAAAGACAATGATCAGAAATGTTCTCAGAAATGGTCTCGTACCTATCTAATAGATACTTGTCTATTTTTTAAGGAAAATTAGCCCGCCGTTTAGTTAATAAATGCAGTAAGAATGTAGAGATGTCATACCAACATACAACAGCTCCATTTCATTTTCCCGGACATTACAAGGAAGTGTCTCGTTCTAAGTTTGATGACATGCTTCTACATGGTGACTTACTCACGTACGCCGAAATGGCTGGGGAATCATATGGACTAAGTAAAAAATATTTTTCTTTTTATTTAATACCTTTGGAATAACTACCTACGTGGAAAGATTAGTACCAGTGGAAGATTAGAATGAAGTTTACTCAGTTAGCCCATCATTGCAAATTTACTAGTAATTAATTATGGTTTCCCGAGGTCTGATATACAGGCATTATTAATCCCTACGGGAGTACTTTAGTATGGTACTTACTACGGTGTCTGTAGTAGACACCTACCATAATTTAAGGTATCTAAACCACACATAAACACCTCAAACCATAAACTATGTTAGGTTCCTACTACGGACATGTATAAAAATTTTGTTAACAAATAATTATGTTTTGTTGCAGTTCTATTTTGCAATAGTTTAATATAAGCAGAGCATTGTTTGTAAAAACAGTAAATTTATATTCACATTAATTCACATATCTAACGCTAAAAATTAACGTCTTGACCATATTTTGATAGTATCATACAATTAGATAGAAACAATATCATATAAATAATACTCTAGAATCAATTCTAACTTCCACTTAGGTACATCACAAAATATCTAATGGTATATATATACATACCTATTCCACATGTTATATTGGATACACACAACAGGTTATCACTAGCCTGCAACCAAACCGCCGGATTTGCGTGCCATTGCCGGCGATGTCCCTGCCCTTAGTTTATGTCGAATCTGCCAGCAACAATGCCTAGATATACCCTTTACTTTATTATCGTAAGGTCGCCAAGAAAGTTTCACAAAGAACTCTAAAGTGAAAATCGCTACAATGGATTTACTTGGAGCTTTGATGCTGAAGCTGCGGGGTCGAAGACCTTTTCTGATTCTAGCTACTTGTAGGGATAAAATAGATTTACAAAGAAGACAACATGAACGCAAAATGTAAGGAATTGTCATATAAAGTCACCATTGTGCTCTAGTATTTTACTACTTAATAACTCGTATGAGTGGCGGCTCCTCATACTAAATTACTTAAACTCAACATAAGAAAAGCAAGCTTCAAGTATGTTCAGCAAAATGTGTGCATGTCATAAACATAGAATTCACTACGACTTCCAACCCCGCCTGTTACAATGCCTCTGATAACCCCATTTAGGAAGAGTCATTTAAATCAATTATTATTATTCTACTTTATTCGAATAAACTATATTACAATGTTTATTTGTTATATTAATATATCGTTTCAAACAAAAATTGTATGTTTTGTTTTTTATCGCAGACTTCGTGACTTGGCCAACGAGCAACGAATGTCGGTAGAAACACCACTGGAGAGATCAACATTGCAAGTGTTGTTATCCGGACGTATTATAATTACTGGAATCCTTAACGAAATATTTATGGTAAGTGTCATTAGATAAAGTAGTCTACCTCTTACATTTACTAAAATTTATATAGCTAACATAAGTAATCATTTAAGTTGATAATCTAATACAAACTCGACTGTAAGTAAGGACCAACTATACAATAATATCGAGAAAAAAAAGACAACTCCATTCCAATTACTCTGGTTACTACTGGTTGTACTCATAACAGCTTCTGCCATCGGTGCCATCTTTTTTCGAATCTCGGCCTATTCGAGCTGAAAGATTCAAGATATAATCCTTTTGAATTAAGCTGTCGAAAGATACATTTTTGAGCCTAACAATGGAAGCCTACTACGAAAATAGAAATTCGATTTTTACAATCTGAGCAATGGAATTTATTTTCACAAAACATGAAGATGCCTAGTGAAAATCAAATCTCATATCAATTCAAACGTAATTGGTTTGTAGTAACACCCACAAAATCAAATTATAAAACGTCCGTACAGAGAGTATTACGTAAGACCATTTTTTCAATATATATATAATAACTACTGGTAATAAAAATGATCAATTTTCTTTTTTTGTATAAATACAGTCTTTGCCTGAGCAGAAAGAGCAAAGCGAATTTGTGATCGAATCAGAATGTTCTCTTATGATGAACAGCGAAGTTCGACAAGCCGTTCGAGAATATATTCGAGAAGTCAATTTGCTAACGCTTCTAGCCTCTGTGTGTTTTTTTTTTGTTCTTTCATTACAAACATATCAGTTCCTTAACAACGTAATTTTATTAATTCATTGCTCTCATCAATACGAAATATAGGAAACTAGCTATTGATTCACCTAATGAACCTTGAATCAACATCTGTGTCACCAAATTTCCACATTGTAGGTCCCATACACTTATACCATATTTGTTTTGTTTTTAGTATAAATATTTAAATGTAGTATTTGGTTAAAATTGTTTATTTGTATTTATAATTGTTAATTATTATTTCTATTATATAATAATTTATAATTTCAGAGTACAACATCTCTTGAAGAGGGGTGCAATCGTGAGCACGATAAGAACAGCCAGTTGGACCCTAGTCTATACTCCTTGTATAAAGAGTCCCAAGGAACTGACGAGTATTATTACAGCTATGTGAATGGACAAAATTCTCACCAAGAGCGTAACCAACAGAAAAAGTAGTTTTTACGTCACTATATTGTATCTTCTGTAAATTAATAATATTTAATATGTAATGTGTTCAATGGGTGAAACAATTTTCAGAGCCAACGAAATTCGTCAGTCCCGTACTAAGCAGGAGAAACAATCCAACATATCCCGACCGAAAAGCGTAGATTTTAGCAGATATGCCTCATCGACGTGGAAAGGTACACATATAAATACCTATTTAATTTTTATTTTATATAGTAATTAAAATAAATAAATCACATAGCATTCGACACGTTCGGTTCTCATTATAGGTCTTTCGGCGGTCCCAGATAGCGCTAAATCCTCTAAATCTGTTACCTTCACATCTCAAGATAACAACGAAACACAGAATCAAGAACAAGTGGGCCCATTAGGAATGCTCATTGAACCTAAGAAATCGGAAAAAGAAGGTAAATAATATTTTACGACATAGGTATGTAAGATTCTGCTTAATTCCAATAGTAAGTACCTATCTATCTTTGTATAAAATAACCTCTAATCCAATTATAGATTTATATTGTAAACATTACTGATTGTGTAAAAATCGGCAAAAAAATTGTTTTGCAGTTGATAAATCTAAAGTGCCAAGATCTATCAGTACAAAGATACCGTGGCCAACTCGCGGGCAATCAAAAATCGGGTCTGGCGGTTCACTTGATGATTTAGATCTTTGGTTGGCTTTTCTGGCTGAGACCGGACTAATGCAAGCTAGCAGCTCCAATTATAATACATGTGAGATTTATTTTATAGTTAGTTATTGTAATAAAATATTATTCAGTAAAAAGTTTGTATTCTATGATATTTCCACGATAGTAGATATACACAGAATATTTTTAGTAAAATATGCGAGTTTATTTTACATCTTGCAGCACGAATTAACCGTCGGCGTCGTTAAATAAATTATCTTGGTCAATCATCATATATTGATTATATGTATCTACTTACCTAATATGAGGAAAAAATAACGAGCATAGAACTTTGACTCAAACTATTCTTTATCTATTTCTTTCAAAAGAATAAATGTAAAAAAACTGTAATAGCGTAACATCGCAATAACGTATTAAAAATAGAATATATTTATTTGACATGCGGTTTTTAATATGATTGTGGAGGATTTGTGGATTTATATCAAAGAGATATGATACAATAATTATTGGACACACCTTTCCTGTAAGGTACTAGTGCGTGAAGATAGAAATTCTATCACCAAACTTACAAATTTTAGAAATTCCACTCTAAAGTTTTAAATTTAAACTCTTAGTTTCAGTGATCTGAATATTTTGCGTTAATAGATATAGTATTGGACTAGGTATGCTGTCTTAATTGTTATAAGATGAAATGTCTTATTTATTTTCCAGGGGATACTACAGCACCAATTCATCAGGATACAAGGATTGATGATCCCAAAATTCTTAAAGAATTTGATTTCTATAACAAGGCACGTAAAGCTTCTTAATAAAAGGAATTACTTATTCATGTCAGTCACACAGTCACGAAGTTAGCTTTTAAAATTATTTAAAAAAGGATTATCAAATCAGTACACAATCAATTCAGAATTGACGAAAAATTTTCATAGTTACTTCATAGTCCTAATGCAGCTAAAATCGGCTTTATGAAGCGCGTGCGAAATGTTTACCTTCGCCGGAAATTGCCGGAGACAGTGGGAAATGCAACATCGTCTTCCAAATTTTACTGTATTGATCACTGTAAATTGTGGATTGATATTATTTATTTGCGCCTGCAAACCGTAAAACATAGAAGTACATGCCTATATTACGTTTTCATTTATACCAATGTTAATCAACAAATAGTAAAATCTTCAAAAGATTCCCGCAAATAAAATCAGACCACTGTAATGTGCTATTCGTGAATATAGGGTATATGCATCTGAGCCAAACTAAAAAGTTTGATGCATCACCAATGCATTTATATATTGAAGCCTTTTTATATTGTCCTTAATTATCAAATGATATTATTGTACCTAATACCTCATATTACCCGTTATTTTTGTATGAAATGGAATGCAAAGACTGTAAAGTAAAAAGCTTCTCATATACATGAATAGCACTGAAGCCGTTGTAGGTACAACAAAGGTTTATTTTATAAGTATAGAGGACGTATTTTGTATAATATTATTTATATAGTATTTAATAATTTTTATTAGGAACAGAATGAATCATCGACTAGTACGATTAGAGACGATTATGAAACAGTACATCAAAATTGTCCTGGCCTTTTCTGGGACACTGTAAGTTTCAATTTAAAGCAAATTAATACATGACATCATTGATGCATTCGGCCCAATTCGAGATATAACCGAAATCAGTTCGAAACCTAAATGTATATTGGTAAAAACCGTATGAGATAATTCCTATTTTCTTTCATATTTATGTGATATTTTTCAATAGTCAAGTTTCATTTTAGAACTTACTTAAAGAAATAAGATTGCACATGGCAAACACAATCTGTACACTGTAAATTCAGCGTTGCCAAATTGATCAGGCCCATTGGAGCAATGCTAACACGCCATTATGTAGGTACATTCCAGCCAAGCGTCAATAAGACGCTTTCCAGAACAGCGATGTTTGACAAGCTCTTCTGCATTTTGTAAATCAACTAATCTTTATCAATGAATCAATAATTGTTTCTGCAGGTCCTGATGGATGACCCCGATGAAGCATTCCATAAAGTAAAAAAAATAATTCATGACATAGTGGATTCACAACCGCAGTTTAAACCAATGTTCGACATAGATTTTGCAAATCTAAATTGCTACAACTCTGTTAAAAAAAAATTGGCCAACATTATTAACCAAATAGCTCCACAAAGCAAATAAATGAATAGTATTAAAAAGGTGAAATTATTTTATTCTGCAATAGATACAACTAAGTATATTAGTACATAAGTATCCTAGAATGAATGGATAATCACTACAGATTTGCGAGACTTTTTTCCTCTGTTCTTAACTGTAGTAATAAAATATAAAATCTTTTGCACAATCATTTGAATACCATAGTGTCAAGCATAGCTCCTAGAGATTGTACTATGTTGTTTGACATCAATACATCTACTTTCTCTTCTAAATGCCTCTTGGGGTCTTGTTTTCCCACATTCTTAATAGCTAGTTGTTCAGGTGTCATTTTTTCCTCATCTTCCAAAGCCTTGTTGTAGTTCTTAGCTAGCTCTAACATGTCAGTGACAGTTGTCTCATTAATAGAACAATGCTCTTTATAATCTGATAATGTGAGACCATCCATCCATGACTTTTTGTGGAGATTTAGCAACATTTTCTGCTCTAATTCATTCTTTCTGTAGTTAATGCTGATTGAATAGTAATGACGGTTTAGACCATGGATAAGAGCTTGTACTGAAGGTTTCTGGAGATGACCAAGGTTAGATGTTGTCTGCCTAGGCTCTTGACCAAGGACCATCATATTTGGATTGATAAGACGGAAAGCATCAATGACAACTTTACCCTTAACTGATTGAATAGGATCAACAACAACAGCTACTGCTCGTTCTGATAAAGCTTCAAATGACTGTTGGGTATTTATGTCAACACCTGACAGCCAGCATCCAAACCCTGGATGTGAGTGATACCTGCAAAATTAGAACATGCTGTTTGAGCTTTTGCCGTTGGAACCTTTCCAGGTTTAGGAATATACAAAAAGATTTTAATGTTATAGCAGAGGAATTATGCACTGGTATAACCAGACACAGAGACTATACAATATTGGGGCTTTCCCCAAAGTTATTATAAAAATGTAGTACTGCTAAGAAACTTCCACATTTTCATAAATTTTGATTGAGCAATAGTTGTAAGAATAAAATATCTATCCTCATTCTCTTCAAAATTAACAATTCAATACTAAAAGTATACCGACTTTATCAATCAATTCAGGTACCTGTCATAGGAGTATTTGACCCCATTACTCCCATTGTGTATTTTAGATAGGATAGTTGGTAAATCATACACATTCTTATGTATTAAACATGTAAATATATGAGATTGGGTCAATTTACAATGTACTGACTAACCATTTTGAATGTGTATGTCTATGACATGACATTTTTTGGCTTGTTTGCCATTTATATGATACAAATGAGTTCCATACAAATTGCCAAATAGACTGATAACTCTAATCAAAATTATTGTTATTAGAATTTGCATTTTAATATCTTTCTGCACAAATGTTAAAAGCCTCATAGGACAAAATAAACATTTATCACTCACCAACCCACCACCATTTCAGGTCTACCAGTCTGTTTAAGCATATCTAACATCTTAGCCTGAAATACAGGGTCGACAGCCTCTACTGAAACTCCTGTACCAGTTTGGGGCATAGCAAATACATCAATCACACGTACTGTATAATCATCAACAAATTCACCTGAAAAGTTGAAATTTATTATTACATACATTATACAATACATACTTAATAATATTATAAAGATGAAAGTTTATCTGTCGGGATAGAATGTCACATGTAACAACTACTAACTAACATTACATTAAAAATCCAATGATGATGTGGCAAATATAGATAATGCAATGTACATAATTGCACACTGTGTGTATATTTTAAAATTTGATAAACTGATTTTAATATAGGTATAACTATATATTTAGAATATATCACTTCATTTCAGACAGGGAATTAATGTATTATAGGTATTAATATAATATTACAAGTATAAGGACAACTTTTGAATAAGTAAAAAATCTTATAACATAAACTTGAGTGGTTTTCTAGGCCTGAAAACAATTGATGGTCACATCATGACTTGAAAGTATTAATATGAGTACAATAATGTGTTGCATATTGTTGTCTTTTATAATTATATAAATAGAAATAAAATGTGAAATGTGAAAAGAACCATCATTCATTTTTATATTTGACCTGGCATGCTGACAATGTCATACACAGCAAAGTGATTGTGGGTTAATATTCATAAATACTAATAAAGTAAATTTGTAAATCATCACTCAAATGTATTGGTACTAAAATTATATTCCATGATGGCATAAGTTTGAGGCATCATTGAAATACTATACTGATACAAGGATGTAGTTAATTCTTACCTAACATGAGGCCCATGACTTCCATAGGTACTCCGGCACGGCCGTGTTTCAACATTTTTAGGAGAGCCAAGGATGAGATGTATACTTGTTCTGCAGTATCCACTACAGGCGCATCAGTAGGAGGTGGCGCCTGGGACAGACCAGTCATGCCACCACCAAGTCGAAGAAGGCGATCCATAATCTATAAACTAGATTCTATACACTAAAACAAAGCAAAATTGTGCATCGACTATAAATAAAAAGTATTCAGTATCGCAGGAAAACAATGTTTATAAAGAAAATAGAATTCACTTATTTGTTACAGACTCTTTTAAATTATTACTAGGTACTTACACTTTAAGGACATATAATTATGGAATTAATTACAAAGAAACGACCAGTAAACAACAAATTAACGTGAATATGGAACTGTATTTAAAAAAGAAAATAGATAATGTAAAAGTGTAAACCGGAATAATGGAATGAACTGACATGACAGATTGCGTTGAAATTGTCGAAAATGCAAGCTCACTATGAACTCATTCTCGAGTTATTATTTGAACAGGTGAACAGTAGAATTGTTGCGTTCTTAAATAATGTCAATAACAAATATATCCGTTTGGAATAATTTAATTATATCGCAACTTAAAATATGCGAGTGAAAGTATTTCAGGTAGTTTAAAATCTTACAAAATAGTTTTTGATGAGATTATTTTTTAAAACACTATGTAACTGTATAAATATCTTATATACAAGAACCTATATGAATATCATGTCTAACTAGTCTGCGGCTGTTTGTGTTACTCTGTGTCAAATGTAAATGTCATTTATTTATTCGACTTTATTTTGGTAGTCTTCAGTTCTTCGCTTCGATCGCATCATTATTCTATAACCTAATACATGTATTATTTTTGTAGATACAAAATAAAGAAAATAATATAAGCTGATTAATAAAATATTTATATGTTATGAGAAAAAGTATATCATGACGTCTGAAAAATCTGTTTTACCGGGAAAATTATCTGAAGGGCCTCACGGTTTAGGTAACTACACAGATTTTTTCTTATTTAAGTAAATCTATATTACTTAACTAGTATTTACAACAAAATTAACCCATACAGTTATCCGTTATAGAACCATAGACTATCATTGATTTTCTTACAAGTAATAAGATTTGTAAACAGTGGTTGTCTTGTGGGTGGCTCAAATAAAATATATTTTTTATGGATGAATTGAACATTTTATATGTTGCATTAACGGTAGGGGGTGGGGCTCCTAGCTGACGGGGCATGAATATGAATTCCATGTTAAATTTACCATTAATTTGTAGCCCAAACATTTTTGTTTTAGGTAACCCTGAAGATAGAACCTTAAGAAAAGTAGAAATAGAAGTGATGATACCAAAGCTTATGCGGGAAAAAGCAAAAATTGAAAAATGTCCAAGTGAAGTAAAAGAATTTGAGAAATGTTGTAAAGATTCATCCATTTTTATGGTAGTTAAATGTCGAAAAGAAAACACATCTCTTAAAGACTGCCTAACAAAGTGGTACCATAATGAAGATTTCAAAAAACAATGTACAGAAGAATATTTGAAAGAAAGAAGTGAGTATAGGAGAACTGGTATCAAGAAAGCCATTAAAAGAGCTTAAAAAACTATGTAATATAGTTATTACAAAAGTAAAATATGCAATCAAGAGTCGTTATAGTGATTATAGTGCATAAAAATGTTATTATTTATTGTTATAAAAATGAACTGTTCAATTAAAATCATCATTTAAAGTGATTGGAATATTTCTTGTTAATATCATCTCTTGCACACTGTAATTGCTTAAACCTTCTGTTATTTTTGTTTCACTACTTGGTTTCACAACTTCTGCAATAATTACTTTCTGAAAAAAAAGTATCAATATTTTAATAAAAATTTATTTACTAATATTCTATTACATCAGTAGTAATTGAACTGGTTGCAGTAATACTGTGAATATAAATTTACATATGCAAACCTTTAATGTAGTAACTGCCATTCTATTATGTCCCAAAATTGAAATCCAATTTAAATCACAATTTTGTTCTCGTATGTTTCTTATAACTACTATAAATTCAGCATGTGAAAGGCCAGGACCATCTTTATATAGCACTGCAAAAATATCCAGGAATTAAAAATGTATATAAAACACATATTACAGCATTACAGTATGGGGCATATAGCAGAAATACAGATATAGTTACAATTCAATGTAAGAAACAAATTCTAGGTAAACAAATACATACATACATATCCAATTAAATACTAAATCACCTAATTTATTAGACTCCAAAATTGTCAATATATTAGCTGTTATATGCACCATGCTATAAAACTATGTGTAATACCTACAGTAGTCACCTCCAAATTTGATTCCAGACTTTACAACATACCCTTTTGATCGAAAATAATGATAGACAACATATTTGGTCACAAAATATTTGTCAGTTTGAGTGAATAATTCTAAACTTTGTTCCACATTCAGAAGTTTATCAGAATAAATTACTTGTAAGCATCCTAGTCCATATATCAAGAAAAATGCTTCTTGTAGTGTTAACATTAATTTCTCATGGACTTGTGGTTTGTTAAGACAACATTGTGGTTTCAAATTAGCAAAATAATCATCCTCTTCAGAATCACTATTGGCGACAACCACCACCATATCATCTTTCTCATTAATATTACAGTCATCCATTTGCGAATTTGCAAAATCTCTTATGTCTTCATCATCATCATCACTTGATACCAAATCGATGACATTTTTATTTTCACAATCTTGAAGTATTTTTGCAGAAATTTCATCAATATCTTTGAAAAATAAATCGGATTCTATTGTGTTTGAAGTGGTACTAAATTTCTTGTACCAGTAATTTCTCTTGAGGAACTGCCGTTTACGCATTATTTGAGGGCTACCATCAGTTTGGTACATCTTAGGTTTAGACCGGGAGAATGTCCCCTTACCAAAACAACCCATTTGATACAAAAGGGCCATTTCACGAATAGATCTAATTTCAACACCAATGCCATTAAAATAACCTGTAAATACAATATGCATGGTGCTATCCAAAGGAAATCGCGATGAATCTATTGTTATGGGAAATGACTTATTTGACTCATTACTTTGACAATCATCTTGTGATTGCAAAGTAGTCATTATGACAAAAGAACTGGCAACTTGCCAAATTTATTTACGGCTTGTGTGACACTCCGTTGATTTTACAAAAGAAAAGAGTGCAAATTATAAATCTGTAACAAAATAATAATAAACAAATTACTATGATTAGCGCCTAGTGTTTAAAAATTAATATTTTTTTATTAGACATGGAAGAAAAGAATCTGGGAATTGAAGAAACATACAGCAGTACGTAATTTGATGAATAAAAATTGTAATGTAACCCTACTGCCAGAATAATTACCTAAGTTTTGCCCATTATTACACTAACTTATTTTTTTGTAGCTAGGTCCATAGTGGGAGTTCATGAATACTTGATTGTATTAACTTAAGAGTAGAGGTACATTATATCAAAACTGTTATAAAAGAATAATTGGTATAAAGAGTAAAATATTCAAATAAGTTACTAATGTTAAGATCTACATAAATAAAAGCAAATTTGAAATTGTAGGTTAGGATGACAGATCAACACTATCAACAGAACATATTAATGTCACTGTCAGTTGTTTGACTTTTCAAACAACCACTTGACAGGGAAAGCTATCGAGTTTACCGGTAATCGTGTATGGTTCTGTGATTTTGTCCGAATATTTAACATTAATTCGATTCGTTTTCCATGTGTATTGGATTACAACATTGAATTAGAGAACAATTAATGCCGAAATAATATTTTACATGTTTTAATAACATTAAAATATAAGTTTAAACAGTAATAGTAGCTACTTATTTTTTTATACCACGTAGGTGGCAAACAGTAGTCTATGAACGCCAGAAACACCAGGGGTGTCACGTGTGCGTTGCCAACCCTTAAGAAACCTTAATATTCCCTTCTTGAAAAACCCCATGCTGTAGTCTCTCTAGAAAACCTCGGCAGGTAGTGCATTCCACAATCTAAGTATAGGTGCGCGGGAGGAAGCTCCTCTGAAACCGTACTGTCAGTGACCACTTAGATTTTAGCGTGTGGCGAGCGGTGCGATGGTAAAAGGTAGGCGTGGGTATTATGTCAAACAATTATTCAGAACACGGTCCTTTGTATATTCGGTAGTACACACAAAGCAATGCGAAGTCCCACCTCAAGCTAAGTGGTTCGATACCGTTTAAGAGATTGGGATCATCGACAATTCTCATAGCAAGTCTTTGAACCGAGTCAGTCGAGTCGTATCCAGGTGCTGAAAGATAAGAGCAGTATGTAGCATGTATGACCGAACCTGTGACTCATACAAAAGGAGTCTCTTGTCCCCAGTGAAGTACCGCCTCGCTCTATTGAGCACGCCGAGCTTTTTGGACCCCATCTTCACCTTGACGTGACTGCGGATCCCAATACTCTTAGAGATGGTAATGCACGTCCATTCTGGATTTGCGGAACCTTAGCAAAAGAGATTTTCTTAGCGGTGAACGCGCAGGCTTGTGTCTTGGTAGGGTTGAATTGAACTAAGTTCAGTCGCCCCCAGTCGAAGACTGCTGAGAGTACTCTCGATTTCAGACACAAGCTGTTCGTAGTTTGACTACACAACGGGAAGAGGCTAACATTAGCACGGTCCGTGTTAAATGTGTCCCCAGTACTATCAGCCGCATAACAATAAATGTTAACTGTGGTTAACAGATCATTGATATGCAGCAAAAACAGTGTCAGAGAGAGAACGTGTGAGGGAAGTTACCTCTGAACTTCTCACTTTAACAGAGTAACTATAGTGGTATCCAAGTAAACAACGTAGAAACAACAACAAAATATATTTCTAAACAAGATAAATAATATAAAACCAAATTTAATACAATAATATAGATAAGTTATACGGATACACCAATACGACGACAGACAAGATGACAGAACACACTCTTTTCAAATATTCAAACATGCTTCGTCTGCTATACCAGCCAGTCTAGTCATCATTGCAAACCTTGTTCTAACAGAACGGAGCCTTGCAGGACGTTAGCGTTAATATCTCCACTATCGGAGCAACTGTCAGCAACTACCGTCGCCGTCGACCATGGTTTCATGCATTTACCAGACAAAAAACTAGCGACCAATTGCATAATCTCTGGAGTATTCCGTACGAGGGCAATTTCGATATATAATAATTAATAGTAAAAACAAATTCAACGTAGAAAAATATTAGATATTTTATTATTGATCCCAATAAATATAAAATAATAATTTGTAATATATTACAAAGAAAATCCAAAGTTTACGTATGTATAGGGAATAATTGGTCCATTCGAAAAATCCACCTTATTTCTAAACGAACAAAATTTTTTAATGTTGTCTAAATTGGTAATTTTTGCAGTGTGGACAATATAATGATTAATAACTCTTTCTCTTTCTGTTTTAGTGAAAAGTGTATTCATAAGAGAAGGTAAGAACATAATTAATACTTAGAAGTAGTGCTAAGTTCATTTTATGTAGTCACAAGACCACTCACCTGAGAGTTTTTTCGCGGATTTTCGATTTTTCTGAAATTATAAATTCTACAAAGAATATTCTAGTTAAATCTGTAGTAATTCACAATTATAGCCAAAATGGCTAACATTAGTGAAGAGAATGTTAGCAAACTTATTGGTGATGACAAAATTGGTAATAATTCATTTTCTCATAGGTACGTATTTTGTTTTCCACAACCATCAGGCTTACTGCATTATTGCTATGATTTTCAGATATGATTGCAGCCACCAGCGTTTTGCAAATCAGAGCGAGTGAAATCCGCCAATCCCAGATTAACTGGCAGTCTTACCTCCAGTAAGTAATTAGAAAAGCTTGGTAGTATTCGTATCGTCCATAATACAAAGATACTTAAGGCTTAATTGTTTCCGTTAAACAGGTCCCAAATGATCACCCAACGGGACCATGATTTCATCGTGAACCTGGACCAGAGAGGTCAGAAGGACTTGCCAGATAAAAACCCTGAAGGTTGTGCTGATGTCTTTCTGAACCTCTTGACCCATATCAGCAAAGATCATACAATCCAGTACATCCTTGTTTTGATTGATGATATTCTGTCTGTAAGTGTTCTTATATTGATGATAGTAGAAAACAAGGAACAATATTGCAGTGACTTGCTAAAATATTTCTTTCATTTTCAGGAAGACAAGTCTAGAGTTAAAATTTTTCGTGAAACAAAGCATTCATCAGGTAACATCTGGCAACCATTCCTGAACCTGCTGAATCGTCAAGACGAGTTTGTACAGCATATGACTGCCCGCATCATTGCTAAATTGGCATGCTGGCATCCCCAGCTCATGGAGAAAAGTGACCTGCAATTCTACCTTTCCTGGCTCAAGGACCAACTTAAAATGAATGTAAGTCCTTTAAATTTCATTTTCTATTAATAGTTTCAATTTGTTTTAAATTTTGATTGGTTTTTAAGTATATTTATGCATGAATGGAAGAGTTTGTATTTTAAAGCATGTTTAATATTTGATATCTTCTTTTTATAATTTTAGTTTGATATGAGATTCATGATACTATAACTACAGTATAATGCTTTGCTGACTGTTCTAACTCACAAAATAATTCATAAATTTGAAATTAGAAACATATTTTTACATCCATTATACATATTGCATGAGTAATTTCGCATGGTTACTATACAATTGTTTTGAATAATACTAATTACTAACATGATCATTCAGTGTTTGGACCTTGGATAAAATAGATATTATTTTTATAAACTGTAAAAACAAATAAGTATATTCTCTTCATTCATCGCCAACTTCTGTATTTATCATTTAGTTAAATAAATAAATATTGCCGGACAGTTCATATAGTGTCCTCTAGTCCCAAATAAAACTGAATTTATGATATAGATATTAGTTAACAGATATAAATACTAGATACATGTTATTTTTGTCAATCATAGATAATATACATAGAAAAGAAAACAATTCAAATACAAGCATGTATACATGCTTGTATTTGAGTTTGTTTTTTTTTTGTGTTTGGGTGTTTTTTACATATATACTATATGAGTGTACATATACTCTGGGATACAAATAGATATTTGTATTTAACCTACAACAATCGGAAGCCTGTGTGTTAAACCACTAGACCACCAAGATCATCATCATTCTTCTTAATTTAGTTGAGGACTGTAATATTCAATTATACTGATCAAAATGGCAAAGGCATTGTATACACCATGCTATTGACAATTGATAATGCCTCCAGATACACCATTTAGAATACAGTATGACTATTCTATTATTTATAGTATTTGGGTTTACTACTCTATACTTTATAAGAGTTCTTAAGAGGCCTATTACAAAATGATGCCGCTCAACTTTAGGTTTAATCGCATGGATTTACGCACACACACAGTAATACACGCACACAGACGCAAATAAACGTGTAGCTCAATCGGTGTGGATTTAGTATGAACCATTTTGATCCTTGTAATATTTTAATTAATTATGTGATATTTTTTTACTTAACTGAGTAACTAACGTACTTATTGGATTTTTTTAAATAACGTGATTTATATTAATTATCAAAGTGCTAATAATGACCATAAATTTTTATTATATTATTCCTAGAGGGTTGATGTCAGGATGCTGGCCGATTGTACAAGTAAAAGCCAAAACCTTAAGTAATATGAGTACCAAATAATTGGGATAAAGACAGGGAGATGAAATTATTATAACATAAATTTACTAATTAATTCCTCTTATATAATAATTCAATTTATTTATTAATAAGTACAATATAATTTATTATAAGAGTCGGATACATTATTGCCATATTCACTTGTTCTAAATATTAAACTTAGTCAAATAATTATTTTATTTATATATAATAGTTGTGTTTTCATGGCTTTGTTTCGATTTAAAGGTCCCATCCTTATATGTATATTAGTTGTGTCCACGACTTCGTCAGCGTGGTATAATGAAATTGACCAAATAAACGAAATATATTTTGATTATAACCCAAAAAAGTTTCATTGTTTCACTTAAACAATGACGATACTTTTATACAACCTTTCATCTCCGCTTTCAATCCCTTACAACCCTTTTTTCGCACTATAAAGTAGTCTATGACCTTTCTCAGGATATACTATCTATCTATATATACTATCTGTGTATATATATGGCAATGAATTTACAGGGTACAGGGGAATAACACCCGAGTTCTCAGGAATGGCAACGCATGGGGGGATCATGGGGGAAACAATATGGGGATATGAACATGTCAGGTACTGCTCATGTCTATAGGCGACGGTTACCCCTTTCCATCAGGGGAGCCGTCAGCTTGTTTGTTTAGTTCATTCTAAGTTGTATAAAAAGAGGTTCAACTGCTATCATTACTGTTCCTGCATCATTGACGTCGCCGCAAGATATTCGCTAATATTGCAGCTTCACGTTCTTGGTTGGCCGATTCTTGATTCTTGATAAATGAAATGAAATCACCATGAGCTATAGAGAACCTTAGAAACACCTCTGCTCTCATTAGCGGGATTACTTTTATAGTTTTTACTGGAGATTTCTGAAAGACTCTCTGTGTCATTAACATCGTCTCCCTTAAGGACTTTAATTGAAAGTTTGAAACTACTGACAAATATGAGAGCTCATTTTTATGGAAGCACAGATAGTGATTTCCTACACTAACTGCTCAAACTTGAGGAAGGAATTTCTCAAAAGCATGATCCAATCATGAAATTTAAGCCCGCTGAACATGTGCAATGGCGTCCCATTGGATATATTGCTTACTAAAGAATTGAAAGACAATTTAATTGTAGACCATTATAACCGGTACGTTACCTGGGCAACCAGCTCATATACCAAGAATACCGATGATTCCAACTGATCTGTCAATACCATTTTAACGGCTTCAATTTCCGGTTAAAATATCTTCTACACATGTAATAGATCTATGTATGTTTTGATCTTAAAAAACTACGCAGATTTTGATTCGTTGTTATTTAACAGACAGAATAGATAGACTCACGAGGAAGGTTTATATATAACGTCCCAATACTGTACACGGATCTTTAAACGCGCGATAACCTATATATCCCATGTTCACGCGGGCGAAGCCGCGAGCTGCAAGCTAGTCTCTAAATAAAAACATTTATAAAGTTGATGACTTTTCACCCAAATAACACAATGGCTTGAATTTAGAAATATCTGTATTGTGTAAAATAAAATAAAGTAATTTGGATAAAATATCTCTAAACATTAGGGAATATAATTTATATATAATTTGGTAATTTATTTACAATCCACATTGCATACTAGATAATATAACACAAGACAAATGTACGTAAAAATAATAATGGTATTTTTATAAACAATAACCTATTTTAATTTAGAAAAAACTACAAAATAAACATAAAGTAAAATTCGTTTACATTTTTCTCTTAGTTAAGCGTTCTTTTTAAAAATACTAAAATGTTTTTTTTTAATATTAACAATTAATTGCCATTAGTGTGACGAAATACCACGCTCTTGTGCTGTTCATAGTGCAGCAGAGTAGGTAGGTTTTATTTGTAACATAACTGTACTTTTGTCTTGGCATGCTAAAATATATATATATATATATATATATATATATATAACAACTTTAAATTAATATTCGTAGAAATAAGTATGTATTAGCAAAATTAATTAAATATTACTTAAATTATCAAAATTGTTTAGTCGCACTATACTAATGTTCACTGACAAATGTTTACGAATGTCTTATCGTAGCGGTGTCGTAAAAATTAGCATAGGTCCTACCTCGACGAGCGCTAGCGCAGCACTGAGAATTTACTTTTGGCGCAACGGAATTTATACAATTTTAAATTATAATTATTGTTTATTTTTTTCTTAGAAACTTATATTTTTTTTTATATTTCTAATTTACAAGTTTTAAGTATATTAACTGTATTATTATGTTTTTTTCGTTCAAAAATTTCGTTGTATTTATGAGAAAATTAGAAATGATTAGTAAAGATATCATATCAATTTATGTTTGTTTATTAATGAACGACGACCCCAAACTTCTGTCTCTTAGCGTTTTTGAATAAACTATTTTAGAAATTAGGAAGACTAATAAAGAGAAAATTAACATTTCAAAGATGTTGTTTTTAAGATTAGATATCTATCTATATAATTCAGGAATCAAAATGTATATCCGACTCTTAATTTCTTAGAACCAGAACCCCTAAGACCCCGCTTTTATGCCAAAAAATGTGAAAGGCCTCTTAAGTTAATCCACAAATAAAATAATTATAACTAAATGTCAAATGTGTGTCTCCACTTACCATACTTGTATTATAAACATTTTGTGAAATAATAAATAATTTTCGTACACTGTTAATTTCACTATTGTCGCTAATCTCAAAAATGGCATTTCTATGTAGGTTTAATAATCCATGTGTTAGATTACTTGATAAAAGATAAGTAGATAATTTTACACTTACATTAAGTTATATGAGAAATAGGTGTAAAATTCGAAATAAATTGGCAGAAACAAAATGTTCTTCTGAATATTATTGCTGTAACACAGGCATAGTGGCATATGCTTTTTAAGCTCTACAGTGTATGTATCAGCTAAATAACATAATCCATTATGTGTCTAAACCACTACTGATACATAACATGTTGTTGTGAGCATTATGTGCAAAGTATCACGCATCATTGGGACCTTGATTGCGTGATTGTACTGTCATTGAGAGGTTTGTTTTCTGGTAAGGCGGAGAAAATGTCTGCCGACTTAGAGCATGCCGAGCAGGTTATGTTGGAACATGAGAAACACAATTTCTCTGATAAACCGCACAAACATCACAAGGACAAGGAAGAAAAGAAACCTGATGCTGCTCAGGAGAAATACTCCAGTCTTTACAGTGCTTTTGATGAAATGAAGCCAGAGGAATTACCACCGGGCTTGTATAAGGTACACTCTGTGTAGATGTCACATGACTGATGCTAATGAAGGTAGTAACAACAAATGACTAATATTAATAAGTATAGACAATGTAACTAACGCATGTTACAATGATTTTCTGATTAATGACAATAACCATGCTTAATTTTACTAAATAATGTAGATATTGAGAATGTCACGCTTCATAAAATTCAGCAATGCATTAAATAATTTGCTTTCTGAAATATAAATTGCCTACTATTGTAGAAATGTATCTCTTAAATTTATTGTTGTTACTTATATGTTTAAAATGAAGCTTAACTTGTGTTATGTAAGTATATATATTCTTTAATTATTTCCCTAATTGTTGAATATCTTATTATCTGGTTAACTTTTATATAATCTTCTGTATTCATAAATACTTCTGACTGTAGGCTTAACTATATACCGTCGAATGTGTGGTAAGGCATTATACAAAAAAAAAAAACAAAACCATGTAAGTTTTATTATATGATATTTTGTTTTCAGAGTCAGTTAGATCATCATTACAACAATAGTAATTATCAACGCGACTTCACCCACTGGACCCGAGTGTATTAATTGAACACAATAAATTTGTCTAATTCTTCTCTATCCCATAATACCAGTAATTTGTTTAGGATGACAATATCTATGTAACTTTAACTTCCGTATATCGCACTAAAATAATATTAAATTTAAAAACAATAAAATAAATAGACACTACTTGAAATATCTCATGCCAAAAAATAAGGACACATCTGTTTTGTGCCTTCATAATCTCACAATTGTCAAAAAACCTAATGTTGTGCTTAATTATTTGCCTATATATTAATTCTTTTAAGTCCTACATGTATGTGGTAGTCCATGATCTATAAATAGTAACAACAATATTTTATGTTCTACAGAACAATGACTACATCCAATCTGTGGCTCGTTGTCTACAAATGATGCTGCGTATCGACGAGTACCGCTTCGCATTCCTTTCGGTTGACGGAATTTCTACTCTGCTTTCGATTCTTGCATCCAGGGTCAACTTCCAGGTAACTTTGAAATACATGATTATATCCAAGTAATATAATAGTTTGTTCAGCAGTGAACGTCTTCCGGTCTGAGATGATGATGATTCAAGTAATATGCATATAAAGAGAACTACCATCTTTATAATACAGCTAAAAGAATACTTGTCGTATATATATATATACTAAACGATATAGTCTTGGTTTTGGTTCATGTCTTAATCATTATCATAATTACTACTGAAAATAATTACCTGTTTCCAATTTTGAGCCGAACCTAGATAAACTAAAACAATTATACAATTTGGTGTGACACAGCAATAAAACTAACAATATTTTATTTACTTCAGGTGCAATATCAACTCGTGTTTTGCTTGTGGGTGCTAACTTTCAATCCACTACTTGCTGAAAAGATGAACAAGTTCAATGCCATCCCAATATTGGCTGATATTCTGAGTGACTCTGTTAAGGAGAAGGTCACTCGCATCGTCCTTGCCGTTTTCAGGAATTTGATTGAAAAACCTGATGATCACCAGGTATTTTTTGTCATCTCATAGTGGTTTGCTTACTAGAAATCCAAAATTCTCCAGTGATGGAAATACTATTAAACAAAAATTACTCTGACATACTATGGAAGGTTTGGGCCTTTTGAACACAAATATATTCAGGGAAATGAAGGCTTGTCCAGTATTGTGTTGAGCATGAGGTCTATAGTTAAAAGTCTCTCTGCTTACTTCATCTTGTTTGACAATTTTCAATGCATATTTAATTAGAATGGAAAAGACTAATATGTCTAATACATTGTTTTTATTTATTCCTATTTTTCTTTGTTAGGTGGCCAAAGAACATTGTATTGCCATGGTACAGTGCAAGGTTCTGAAGCAACTGTCCATTCTGGAACAGAAGCGCTCAGATGACGAAGATATAATGAATGATGTTGAGTTCTTAAATGAACGCTTGCAAGCTTCTGTACAGGATTTGAGCTCTTTCGATCAGTACGCTACTGAAGTTAAGAGTGGACGGTCAGTATCTGTAAACTTTATCACTATCTTACCTTCTTAGTAATACCACCTCATATAAATTGATAATCGAGTGCCATTAATTGACAATGGGTAATGTATCCCTATACAATGGAATAATCATCCAGTAGATCATATAATAACGACGCTGCCGACAAACTAGCGAAAAGGGATGTAGTATGCAAGTATTTCCTTCGATAGTTTTGTCTTTATTATTATAATATTATATTATATACTGTAATGGTCATTTAATTGCAGTTGCGTAGACATTGTCCTCAGTTTGACTATATCTTTACAACTATACTTGTATCATATTTAAACATAGACTTAAAAGTTATAACTTATTTCTTTTAAAGAGTTTCGATGATGTTATAGGCTCTAGGACGCAAGTTGCTCCTAAGCATTTAAAACGTTTTTTTTTGCTAAAACCTTAAAAAAAATTATTGCGTAGCACAAAATACCCTATAAATAGTAGAAGTCGATATATACGGATAATAAAATATAATATTGGTATTATTCAGCCTGGAGTGGTCACCGGTCCATAAATCTGCTAAGTTCTGGCGTGAGAACGCAGCGAGGCTGAACGAGCGCGGACAAGAGTTGCTCCGCACGCTGGTCCATCTGTTAGAGAAGAGCCCAGACCCAGTTGTGCTCGCCGTTGCCTGCTATGACGTCGGAGAGTATGTGCGACATTACCCACGTGGCAAGCAGTATGTATATCTTTGCCAACTTATAAAGCTTTTTTAATTCTATGCCTTATATGACAAGCGAGTTCTGAATAATGAAACTACTAGTCTGCTTTAATTTTTGACGTAATGTAAACAATGGACGAAATCTGAATGATCTTAGATATGAACTCAAATACCTTATGGGTATTGGGTACAGTATACATAAGTAATATATCATGTAACTTTAAGATATTCTAGAGGATAATGATTTTGGTGTGAACAATCATCATCTATACACATTAGTCACACTTAATAGGAGTCATTTGACGACATGATATCGGAAGTGTTTTTCATAGATAGAACTAAGGTGTTCAGTTCAAACCTATATACTGCTTTCATGGAGTTACCCACACACACCCATCCAATTGAGTTAGTAGAATTGTTCTATTTTATTACACAATGTATTGATATGTATTGCAGCATCATTGAACAGCTGGGTGGCAAGCAGCGTGTAATGCACCTCCTAAGCCATGACGACCCCAACGTGCGGTATGAGGCCCTTTTAGCTGTCCAGAAACTTATGGTTCACAACTGGTAAGCTACTTTATTTTACTGGATATAGAAAACTGGCTAGCAATATAGCCGAAATAAAATGGTCGCTGTCAGATATTATTAACAATGTCTTCAATAGTATAGAATTGCATTGCATGGCAATGCATAGCCAGGTAAATGAAATGAAATTTATTTATTTGCGTATTATACAGTTAGATATTCGGTAATATGTCCAGGTAATAATATTATTGGCAACTGTTTAATTGCCCCAATTTACGGGTATGCAAATTTTAGGTATATTAAAATGGAATAATCTATAATATTATAATTTAAAATTAATGTCTTATGTACCATTCTAATTGTATAGTAATAAAAAAAAAAGTCAACAATCATCAGATAAATATTCTTTGATGTCATAAAAACACTTGTCCAGTAACCAGTAATATAATCGATTTTTTAATTTATTTAAGGGCATTTTCCTCAAGTCCGGTGGTAATTTATTAAAAATTTTTTGTGCCATAAATGATACATTCCTTTGGTAAAGCGTCAAATTGCTCTTTGGTACCAATATTTTATTTCTTCTCTGTGATCTGAGACAGTCCTTTATCTGATCATGTGTTTTAAACAAGTTTGGATGTTGTTTCACAAACGTGCAGATATCAAGTATATACATACAAGGCAACGGAAGAATACCAAGTTTCTTAAATAAAGGTCTACATGATTCTCTGCATCCGACATTGCAAAGGGCTCTAATACATTTTTTTTGAGCTTTAAAAGCTCTATCTATGTCACATGAGTTGCCCCAGATTAGCAATCCATAACGCAATACCGAAGAAACAAACCCATGATACGCATTGAGCGCAGTTTGTAAAGTGCCCACTTGTCGGAGTCTGAACAATGCAAATACAAATCTATTAATTTTTTTGCAAATATTGTCAACATGTTTTTTCCAATTCAAGTTTTCGTCTAGTGTAATTTCTAAAAATTTAGTAGAGTCCACTTTGTCTATTTTTGTTCCATCATGCAATATATTTAAGTCAATTTTTGGGCTAGAGTATGTCTTGCAATGAATGCATTTAGTCTTTTGTAGATTAATTTTCAAGTTATTTTTATTTAGCCATAGTATAACTCTATCCAATACACTATTAATATCTTTATTAAATGTAGCTAAATTTGTACACTTACATAGTAATGTACAATCATCTGCAAACAGAATACACTTTTGGTCAACATAGTCTGGCAAGTCATTTATATAAAGTAGGAAAAGTAATGGGCCCAGAATACTTCCCTGAGGAACTCCATTTCTATTAAATTTAAACTGAGAGTGTACTGATTCTCTTACATTTTTTTGCATACTCATTAATTCGGTATATTGACTTCTGTCTTGTAGGTAGCTTCTAAACCAATCCAATGAAATTCCCCTGATATACCCCTCCCCTTGTTGTTTGATTTATTATATGGTTTAGATTTTATATATCTGTAATAAAGTTTGCGTTTTTTATAGCAGCTTTTCCTAATACCCCTAGTAATCCATGGTGACTGAGTCATTTTATTACTTAATTTAATTTTAATCAATGGAAAGCATAGATTGTATAATAATATTACAAGGTCATGAAATTCATTAAACGAGTCATTTACTTCTGATTTATCAAATACCTCAGAGAAAGAGATATTTTTTATACACTCAAAAAATTTATATATGTTCTCTCTGTTAAAATCTCTTCTAAATTCATACCACGTATGGAGTCCCTTGTAAAGTCTATTATGGAATGACAGGATTTGTGCTGTATTATGGTCAGAGAGTGCCAATTCGTCAGTTTGCCCACTGGCTCCATGTATGTTTGATGCTATTATGTCAATACATGCACTTTTTCTTGTAGGAGATAGTATATTCATTTTAATATTATAATTTTGTAATATACTTGTAATGATCTCTGTATGTTTATTCTGCTTGAGGAGATCAATATTCCAGTCACCACATAATATTATTTTAGATGATTTATTTTTTAATTTATTTAATAAAATATCAAGATTTTTAAAAAATACATAAATGTTTGCTGTTGGAGTTCTGTAAATGCAAATAATAATTAAATTTCTGATTTTTTTTAAAGAAATATATAGAGGAATATAACCAATTTGTTATGTTTAATTACCACAGACAATTATTGCCGGGTGTCTTCATCTTGCTAGATATCTACCAGATACCCATCTAGTATAAATGTCAACATATTATTGTATATAATAATTATTATTTATTTCAGGGAATACCTCGGCAAGCAACTTGAAAAGGAACAAATCGACAAACAGGCGGGCACTGTTGTTGGAGCTAAAGCTTAATTTATTTAAATATTATTATATACATATATAAATGGAATATGCAATATGTGTTATTATAGATGAAAGGGTGTTGTTGTTGTTGGGCTCGCTGTTATGAAGATATTTAATGCTATAGACATATTAACTATTTGCTTCAAATTATAGACATGTGTACATAGTGTGTTACAATTTCATATTTGCCATGAATCTTCATCATATTGTAGTTCAATTGTATTTATTTATTATTCCTCTAATACACTTATTGGGATCAAACTAAATTCCTTTAGTAGTTTAAATATAAACCTTTGTTAATACAATATTAATTTTTTTTTGTAAATATATCATCCAAAAATCTATTTATGTTCATCAAGCATCAAGCAGCATCAAGAAGTCCCAACCCTGTAATGTTCGTTTAAACCAATACTAAATATGAATGTATTATTAATAGTAACTCAAATTGTGCTAGAAGTTTTTGTTTTAAATTATAGAGTTTATGAAAACAACCTGTAGGAATGTAACACCTACTAAAATTGTAGTTTAGTTACAAATATTTCTTAGTAATCTTGTTACTTCAACATTGTGAATAAAGCTTATATAATAGTATATTTGTATATTTCGTTTCCCAGAAGTTCAACATAATTTTCATTTAATAATGTCCGATGGTATTGTCAGTGGGGAACAATGGCATAGTAGCCATTTTTAGTTCGAAAAACGGATTTAGATGGCGACATTGGTATCGAATGGAATTCAACATTGTTTTGCATTCGTTTAAAACCCAAAACTATGTTTTCAAAAAGGTTTAATCTATTTTTAAAAATATATAGATGTTAAAATGAAATAATGCGTTTTGAAAAGTAATTTTCATATATTTACTCATTTCGTTATTGCCCTGTATTTGATTACAATTTAATCATTGGTAATTGGGGCTTATTGTTTCCAAAATACTTTCATAAATGGCGCTGTTTTGATTTGTATCACCGTATTTTAAATGTTTAATTTATATTTTCAAATAATAAGTACTTACTATATTATTATGATAAATTAAACATAAAAAAAAGTTTAATTAATATAAAACAGCTGAACAAGAAAACAATATTATTCCAGTAATACTTATTTATAAAGTGTTGCCATATTAAAAATAAATGCATAGATTTATCGATTTTTTCGACTAATCGATAACAGGATATTACAGCGCATTATTCGACGGTACTTTTAATCAGTCTTTGCAAACAGTAAAATTTCATCATTTTGTATTATACTCTTATTTGTGGAACGAATTGCAATGCATAATTTTTACTCGACGACGGCAAAATAGAGAGATTTTGACAGGTATGCAAGTACTATATACTTATCTGTTCGCTCATAACTTCGAAACTTGGAAGAGGGAAATATTAATTAGATTGATCTGATACAAGTGTATTCTATTATATCAACCTCCACGCGGTCACCCTGGTAATTATGGCAATTAATGACATTAGTGACATTATTCTTCTATTAAAAAAATAAATACCTACTTATTGTAATTTAATGAATGAGAATTAAATGTGGTATAGAGTATATAAGGTCAGCTACACCTTTATGAAACCTCAATAAACAAGTGTTATATGGTATCTAAATTACTGGCATTGATAGCTAAATATGAGGATCCTCGCATTTTTACAAATACTCAAATTTTGCCTAGGATATTTTCAACCTTACTAATTTGTACAAGGTTTTGAAACGATAATCATTCATAATACTATGATATATTACTGATCCTAATACCTACTATTTATGATATCTCCATTCGAGGGTAGATTATTCATAATTTATATTATTAGATTTCATCACAAATAAAAATATCGATTTCAAATCTAACGTTGGTCCACATTTTTTTATTACGTTGAAATGACAACGAGTACTGGCAACATAAAGGAAAGGTTAAAAATATAAAAATATAGGAATAAAAGAATAGGATAATCGACTTTACGTCAAATGCTTAAAACATATTTTCACTAGCATTGGATTTTTTCTCTTTTTTCATCATTTAAGTTAAGTAAGTACTTCAATTGAACTTTTGAAATGTTCCTGTTCAGAGTTCATTGAACTTCTTATTTTTATGTCAAATTCAATAATTTAAATGTATCATGTCTTTGAGGATTATCTCATACCAGGTATAACTATAAGTTGTTAAAAACTTGCATATGTATGCGTGTGTATCTTTCATATTAAAATATAATAAACATAGGTACTTGGTGACCGCTTTAATGTGGTATTATTATGTTTTTATTATTGTTATGAATGTAAGTTCAAAAAACTAACATTGATTTTATAATTTTTGATTGATTGAGAAAATACTGAAAATTATGAATTAAAATAAAGTACTAAACAGTAGTATTATTTTTATATTTTATTAGAACTGAATGAATATGATATATGAATAATATGTTTATTGTACTAATAAGGTTACAGTTTAGTTACTTTCATGTAAGTTCATGAAAATGTAACATATATGATATTGTTTTCAGATTCTCCTGACATCAACAACTTAATACTGAACAAAGTTTAAACAAATAAGAGATGATATTTTAAATCTCCTAGTCATTCAGATGAAGATAAAGAACATTTATACTGTAAATAACAGGAGTTCAAAAGAATAAGAAATATATATATATGAACATTTTACTGTATAAAATAATAATGCAATTAAAAATATAATTAAATAAGTAAGAAAGCAATGGACTAGTGATGAGAAGAAATTCCAAGTAATTATATGATGTGTAACCAACTGCAAATAAGTTTATGATTTATGCACATGATTGTTATTATATTGCTTCATCACCAAGTCCAAGAATATTTTGTGTACCCGGAATTAATTATGAAATGATTTTGATGAAATAATTGTCTTGATATTGATTTATTTGGAATATAATATAAAAATAACAGAAGTGTTTGAAGATTTAGTGGTCTAACAGACAAGCAGTAAAAGAAATATTATTGTAAATTATTAACAATTGTTTATTCTGTGATTAATAAATTATTTGAAAGTGTTTTGTTACCTGAAATAAAAATTTTATGATCTTCAAGTGTTGTGTTCATGCAATTTTAGATTCACCTCATTCGATTTAAAATGTCAGGAATAATTTACTACATAATGATTTTGTATTAGATGGTATTCATATATATTTTTTAATTCAATGTGTATAATAATTCCCATTTACATCAAAAAACTTTGTGTTAATCTATATTTCTATCTATACATAATATTTCTCTGTCTATAGACTTTGGTCGTGGAATACTAATAAGAAACAAAATCTAGAGACTATAGTATATCACAGCATCACATAACCTTGTATTTAAGTCATATAAGGACTTAGTACCTACCTAATACTTGCTACTTTTTTAATCAATTAATTAATTTGATCTCAATCATCATGATGAACAATAATGATTATGTTGAGAATGCTGCCAATGATGAATTTTATGGTGATCATAAATAAATACCACCATCACTATCGTTAACAGTCATTGTTGATCTCATTATCACTACCAGAATGGTGGTCTCATCATCATTACCGTTACCCTCCCTCATCCATATTGTCAAAAATTACTACCTACTATTATTAACTGAAATGGTAAATAAGCTGACGATCCATCCAACCACGACGCTATCCGACGTACATACATACACATATATTATTAAACAGCATTACAAACATTACGTCATCATGTCGTGCCCGCTATATCCCTCATATGTAATCATTCTGGAGAACATAGATGTTATGTCCAAATATCCTGTAATTTCGCAGCTTAATTTTAACTGAATGACAACTTACATAAATACCAAAAAACTAGCAGTAAAGGCGTAGCTTGTAGATATCGAAGGTTCTACAAATAGGTATAACATCAAAATAAGTACCTACAGTCGTATTTTTAATTAGACGAAGCTAGCTGACAGTAGCTAATGTCACATTGTAAAATAATGTTGCCATATTTAAAGTAATAGTGATGCGTTCAGTTCTCAGTTAGATGAATGAACAATGAGTGTGAATAGTTAATCATTACAAACTACAAAAGAAAATTGTATAAAAGTGCTTTGATATAAGTTACTAGTAACTACAATCAGTTTTTTGACGGCTTATTACAAAGCGCGCGGCTACTAGTGCCAACACAAATCAACGTCGCGAGCGTCTGTCGCCATTTTGTTCGTAATTCGGCTTCTAACCTCTGGTCTGAGAGCACCAATGTTTTTTTTTGCGCTCACGCTGTTTTATTAAGTTTTTCCTCATGTTGTGTTTGTGGTAATTGTTGGGTATATTGTATATTTACTATATTGTTTCATACAAACAATATGGATCCTCAACCAAGCACGTCAAGCCAAAGCTTGTCTCCAAGAAAGACGTTACCGAAAAACTTATGATACAAAACGTCTACAAATACGTATTTGAGAAAGCTGCTTCACTATTACCTATTGAGGCTCCCAAAAAAACAAATGTATTTCGAAAACAGCTGACATTTTGGGAATTGGTGTGACCTCAGTCTACAATTTATTAAAATAATACAAAGTGAACAATTTAAGTCTCCGGAGAAACGTGGAGCGAAACACTGTTTCAAAGATAAATTATTATCAATTTTTAGACAGATTTATAATTAATGTCACTGAAAGCGACAATGATTTTTTTATCTGATGATGAATAAAAACAAATTTTGTAATAAGCGCAGTTTTTTATTTTTATTACCTAACTATATTATGTTATATATTGTTATATTTTGTACATCTATAGTTTCAATTACATTATGAATTGTAATTAGGACAGTCTTAAAAGTTTCCACGCAATTTTTTCTTTACGTTTAAAATACTCGGTATTCAGTATAGGTAGATACAATAGGAACATAATCGTCGTAAACTCGTTGGTATGTATAAAGCACGGCTAAAATTCAAACCCCGTACCCGATATCGGCAGTTCGGCACACTAACTATTCACTAGACAATCGAGGCAATTCCATTAATTCAGGAGTTTTTTCAATGATTCACTTTGTCACAACACTATTTTTATTTCATCAAATACTGACAACACAGTAAACGTCAGTTGACTTCGTCTAATTAAAAATATGACTATACATGTCATTAGCACCGATGTATTATCCCTGAAAGAACCTATACATATAACAGATTGATGGTTTGCAGATATTATTTTCGGTTTTACAAATTGCCAGTTTACCATTATTAACTATATATTGAGAAATATTTATTAGAGAAATAATTATACACTGAAAATTATATGAGGTACCCATGTACATAAATTGATTATAGCTAAAATCTATCTCTATCACATAACAATTTAAATAAAAAAAACCGTATTAAAATCGGGCTATTCGTTAAGGAGCTATTGCTCCTTAACCGTAAAAAGTAGGCATGGAAAAAAGTAACTGAAACATTGTACATAGATACATAGGTGCATTAGCCGTGTCTGCAGAGTGTCAGCGAACAATATTATACCTACATTGAATTTTCGATCGTACCCAATCAGGAGTTCGATACAGTTATATATCTATTATGTACGTATCTTTGCAAAACAGATGTCATGTAGACCGAATTCCCTGCCATCTATTTTCATGCTTTATTACTAATCAC